AGTCAATCGTGAATATTAATCCCGATAGTAATAACGTATAGCAAGACTGGTTCACTCCGGAACATTCGAGAAGAAGAGTATACAATGCTTGGTATAATACTGATCAACTCCCATCTCCGGATACAAAAAAAGCGATAAAATCGATCGGAGTTCCGATTCTACTTCCAAGTTCCAACAGTGGAAACCGACTCAAATTGTGATATTTATAGACGTAGTGGGCCGCCATCACAAAAGTTTAGCCCAGCGCGCACTCGCTCCTTGCATCGCGGTTGGCCGAACCGTGTACCTACACTTGCGCTGATGGAGACCCTGTGAGGTGTCTGTATCGGCTTCTTAGTTATTATCAGCCGTTGTGTGTGTACTAAGGTTCGTTCCTTGGTACGGGTGGTACATTGATTGGTAGATAGGGCTGGGTGCGAGGTGGGATGTCTCACTATTCGAAGCCCTACCACGGAACTAGTAAGAGGATCGTATTTCTTGGAGACATGCTTATGCTCTATGATAGGAATAGCCCAGGATATCCGATTGGCAGGATGTGTATACTGGTTTAGAATATATAGTTGTCTAAGTCAAGCTTCGTACTACCTGTATGTGTGATGGATCTGGACTTTAAAAGACGAATACACTACATCATGAGCTTAAACGTATTGGATTCTGAGTGACAAGCTTAAATTAATGTTTTCTCTGAGACATTGGTTCTCGGGGTGTCTCTATACAACTATGATTGCTAAAGTATCAAGGATAGTGTTATATTATGTATATCTTGACGACACAAAAATGTGTGAATATAATTATCAAACTTAAACACTCTAATCTCCTACATGTATTCTAGAAGCTGTTTCTCAGTGCATAAAAGATCTTGGAGCTCTTACCTTAGGCCTCCAGCGAAGTGCCTCTAGTCCTGTTCCTACACCTGGCCCTAACAGCAGACATAAGGTCTCATGTGGCAGAGCCATCTATGGACCTCGCATCATGACGATATCTGATTGAAGGACTATAACATCCCTAAATTAAGTTAGTATGATTATCTATATTACTACATCTCACAGATTGTTTATAGCCCTCCTTCACCAAAGAGCGTCAAACACTGAATTCACTCTGCTAAACACAGCCAAACAAGCTCTGCACAACATGACACTGATGCTATATTCACTGCTCCCATTCACCAAATCTATATACAAAACAACAACTTACACTTACATAGATATCCAGTAACACAAAACAAGCATGGCCTCTCCCACCTTTCGAGACCATGTAGTCACCACACTCATCTCCAAATGCCGCCACCCATCATCGCGTCTTCCAAGTCTCGCGCCAATTGCACAGCGTCCCTGGAAGTAACCAGATCCGACACAAGCTCACCCCAGTACCCATACAGCAGCATAACGCATACCCTCCCCACCGGCTCGCAATGTGTCAAATGGTCGTATTCTGGCACGCCTGCACCCACCTCATAGTGTCCTACCTGGCCTGCGCATTCGAAGAGGCCAGGAACCACAAAGAACAGACCGCAACCACAGCGCTCATCGACGCCGACTGTTGGATATGCCAACAGCACCAGAAACACCCGTCCTGGGGCGCATCCGGGACCATGCGGCGTCTGCTCATGACCGTCCAGAACATGGAGTACATTCTTGGGGTCTCGGCAGACGAAGACGGCTTCTTGGATATGGTGGCCCGGTTTTACGCGCGAGGCGACCACAAGCGCTGGATGCAGCCCGGCATCGCGAAGGCAAAGTACACCAAGGACGATCCGTATGTCCGGGGCTTAGAGGTCCAGTCGTACCTATGTACCCGGGGCCAACGGGATTTTCACATGAACCCGGGCTATGCTTTTGATGTGCTATTTGCGCTGATGAAGCATTGGGATCGCGCGGACTACTCGGATCTCAATTGGTCCATGGTGGGCTATCGCCCGCCGAGTGATTTCTTCTATGTGTCGTCTAGTATGATTGGCATGTTGTCTGATGGCTACGGGGTGGATCATCGACAGAAGACGGGGGTTGCGCATGTGGCTCGGCGATCTCGCTGCTTGTCTAATGGCGGTAGCGTAGTAATGCCGACACAGTCTACGATGACATCGTTTGGAATGGGAGATTCGGCAGAGATTGACTTGGGCCATCTGAGGACCGGGTCGTACTCACAGGGGCTCCCGACTCCGTCGTCGCTGGACGCCCAGACTAGCTCGGTTCATAATGATAATGGTAATCCCGGCTCATTACTTCCACAGCGTCCGTGCGAGGCGCTCAATGGGCCACCCGTCGCAATGAATCATTACGCTCAGCATATCCTCCGTCCCTGGTCCCCGCTCGGAGAGCCTGGACCTTCAATGGAGAATCGCCCCCAGACACTGGACGAGAGAGCAGGTCATCATGCACGCATAACCGGTCTCTTCCATCCAATCTTCTCAGGCGAATATGACGGGGATATCCGCGCAGATGAGGCCTCGCAAGAGTTAGACCTCCATCAGCTCACCACCTACAATAACACTCTGCCGACGAAGAATGCGCCATACCTGCCCACGACACCCCCTAACCAGATCTACACCGACCCTTCGTCCTTCCCCCTGTCAAACGAACCCACCAGACACTCATTCAACAAGCTTCACAATCCACCAGAAGACAACACATACCTCGACATCCTCCTCTTCCCCTCCCCAACTCTGGACACCGCCATCCCATCCCCCAAAAGCGAACTCGCCACCATCGATCCCAGCATGCTCGACCTGGACGACCCCGGTCAATTGCATTTCCCCGGCGACGGAGCGTGCGGCACCGATAAAGGCAAACAGCCTATCAGAGATATCTCGCAACTGGGTCCCCGTGTTCCTGGTGGCTTTGTCTTCCCGGACACCATGGATATGAGTCAAAACTAAGGCTGAGAGAGAGGGCTGTCTTGGTCTAGACCTCTGCCTTGGCTTCCCTCCCCCCTCCAACCCCACCCACCTCTCCATCGCCTCTCTTTCCTTTCCTTTCTTTTTATGAGGTTGATCTTTGTCTTTGGAGAATTGCCGAGTGGCGACGCATGTATGCACATCAGTGTTTTGCTCGCAGCTACTACATCCACATGAAAGAGACTTCTCTTGGCATTTATGCAGGTGCAGGGGGGCGATATTGACGTGTACATCGTGGATCTGGGCTTTGCATATTCACATGCGGTTAGGGCTGTGATATCATTGTGGAGGGTTGTCGTTTTATAATTTTTAAATGTTTTTTTTTTTGTTTGCGGGGCTGGGGATTACTCGGAGTATAAAGCATCGCATTACTTCGACTGGTTGTACATTAGAAGCTTAATGGTATTATTGGGGCAATGGCGTCATGACGAGAATGCAGTTTCTTCCTTTTCTATTCTCTATTGTCTATTCTTTTTAGTTGGTATATCTCTGTGGTTTTAATCGTTCCGTAGATCCCTCGCGCTTGAAATAGGTCGTGATACATAGTCATATGGCGTAGACAGAAGATCAATCAGATGTCTGAGTCACATTAATAGATCTTTAGCTAGACTTTCGAAGGCCATAGACTCCTCGTTTTAGCACCCATTGCGCCAGGAACATGGCTATTATCCTGGGCTTCATATTACTTTAACAAATCCATCTGATCTTACTCAGACGACAGACGGCAACGCTCGCCAATGACTGTCCTGACTACGCAGCGGGTCAGCCGGGTACCGACAACGTGGCACTTTACCATATCATGGTCTCCTTGATAACGCGTGTTTCTTTCATGGTAGCATCCCGGGCAAAAGGGCAGCTGGATAGCAGCTGTGCCGCGCTGGACAATCCAGCAGGATATGTGATCTTCTGGCTATGTGGAGCATGACATCATACGGCCGGGTTCTTCAGTGGATTCGAGCTTAGAAGGGTGAAGAAGAGACGGGGAGGGAGAGAAATGATTGTGTGAACCTAGGATGAAATGGGGGGCATAGTAAGATTGGCCTTCTCTGCAGTCGTCGACTGGGAGCCGACGCCTAAAGTCTTACGGACGAGATACAATCTCGAGTGTCGAAGTTTCTTTGGCAGAGGTTTCATCGTGGAATGTGCTGGCACGAGGTTAGGAGGTACACACGGCCTTCATATCGATCTGTTCCTCAAGGACGTCGCCATCAAGGCTGCCGTTCTCTGCCTGTCCACACTCTTCCGACGTGGAGATATTACTCAATCGACGCTCTCGTTTAGAACCTGTCTGTCAGTCTAACTTGACTCCTGGCAGGCAAGACTTTTACTAGCATTTTCAAATTTTTTGTTTAGGCAAGCCTTTTGTTTGACCCAGTAGGCGTGGATATGTGCGTCTCTGTAGCCCGACATCATCTACGCCTGCGTACACGTCTTCACGAAACACGTGGTAGACGAGGAAAGCCCTTCTGTTATTCGTTTCTTCGTGTATCCATAGGCATCGAGAAACCAGATTTAGAAGGCCAAAGCAAAGAGAGCTGGTTCATCCAAGTGGTGCGATACTGCAGGTGCTCCATACTGCCCAAGAGGAGTAGTGGCAGCGAAAGCCCGTCACATCAGCCTTAACACTCATTTCTGCCCTTGGCTTAATAATATACAGCTCACCCCGATAACCATTTGGTTCCACTGCCCATTGACAGCCCGTGGGCCGTTATTGTGCCAACCGTCCTCGATGAAAGAAGCGCCGGACGCGCTCTGAGTATCTACTCTTGCCTCAATTTGATTGTAAGGAAGAAGTAATACTCCAACATGGTTAAAGTCGGGAAGATGAAGTGATTTAACAGATGTCGTTGGTCCTGTTAAATAGAGCTTGGAAGCCTGTCGATGATGGAACAGGCGCCGAGTATCGCATGATGGCAACTATAGGCTTTGCAATTGGATGCCGGTGGGGCTTCGTGTTCGCAGATTACACGGAGCGATCAACAATTAGCGACGTAATAATCGAAGCGAGGCCGAGAGGGAAGAAAAGCGAACACTTCAACGCGGATGGTGCTTCTATGAATGTCGGACAGATAGTTAACTATACCATGGCACATAGACTATAGTAACAATGATCTCGATCCAAGACACGAGGCATCACGTGGCGATAGTTAGCGATAATGACTCAGCAATGCTATGTATAGCTGCAGACAAACCATGCAAACGTTCCCTTACCGGCGGATACCGTAAGGGTAAACACCCGCGGTAAACAGGGGAAGTTATCACCAGCCACATGTTTCTCGGGTGGTCCGAGGCCTTGCCCCAGCCATGCGAGTGCTCCCTCCTTTCCTGCCCTTCATTTGTCCTTTCCAGCCCACACCCCATCTTCTAGAACAGGCTTGCGATGTGATTTAAATTATCGCAATCAACCTGTTTTTATGCGCCAGTCCTAATTGACCTCAGCGACTACAATGTCTTTCCCCCAGGATGCTCGTCGTCGGCGGGTTGGAGCGGGTACCGGCTTCAGCTCGTCGGGGAGGCGAACAACCCTGGGATACTGGGTACCTTTGGCATTGACAGTAGGTGTCGCAGCAGCTGGTGTTGCAGCCTGGATCTGGAGTGAACGCGCTGAAGATGAAGAAAACGACAACAATTACCCCCGAGGTGAAGATGACTTCCCCGCGCCCGGCCCCAGCGGGGGCGAGCTTCCTCCCGGATACGACGGAGACTATGCCAGGTCAACAGCAACGGATATTCATGACACAGACGATGTTAGCATGGTAGCTCGTATGCAGGGAGCCTTGCGACGCACTCCTAGCCCTCAACAGCTTTTCGATGGTGCCAGCAAGCGAGTCGCAGCAGGTGTGGCTGCTGCGGGCGCGTTTGTAGGCGGCGCTCTGACATCAATCCGAGAAGAAGACAGGGGCGACTTCGAAGATCATTCCAGATGGTCTGAAGAGGTAGAATCGAGAGCCCGCAGGGATCTACCAGATCCCGCTGCACCGACCGTCGGCGGAACTCCTCCCAGCTCAGGAGTTGCTGCTGCCACATCTTCTAGTGCGAATAAGAAGAAAACGGTGGCTATTGTGGTTTCATCGGACACATCGCGCTTAGACCCAGAGGAGTACACTTCCGATCACGCTGTAAGTGATAGTGTCCATTTCGCATAGGTCCTTTATACTGACAATACAGCAGTCTATCCTTTCCCATCTTCCAGAACATATCGATCCCGATACTACTCGAGTCTTTGTTATGATCTACGCCCCGGGTTTGAAGCACGCCCCTAACCAGGGTAACGCATCCCACCCTACCATGTCCGTCACCTCGTCCTATTCAAACATCGCTCCTGAAGAAGTCCTATCTCCCGGTGAGCCACCAAGTGGCGACTTGACCGCATCGGACTCTCGCCAAGATGACCAGACACCGCTCTTCAAAACGCTGTATACCCAGGCGCAAGCAATTGCTGAGAAAGAGAGCATGATTATGCCTTTCAGCACCTCCACAGGCTTTGTGCATCTCGTGCGACACATTTCTCCTGACATTGTTTACGTCCAAGAGTCCCTGACTGGAAAGGATGGGGAACCGGTACAGCATATCACCCGGTGGGTCAGACAGGTAGTGATTGTCATCGGCGAGCGAGGAGGCCTCGTCGACAGTGAAGATGAATCTGCCTTGGCTGACAGTGGTGAGAAGTGGTGGCAAAAGGATGGTACGACCGGCATCGGCAAGCGCATTGATGTCGTTGACGTGCTCCGTACAGGAGACGATTGGCGACGAAGAGTGTCTGGCTTGGACTAGATGTCCCGTCAATTATCTGGGTGGCTGTGTCGATATGTTTATTTCACTTGTTCATATGTGTCATTTCCCTTTCATCACCCTTACGACCTGCTTTGATTCCCCCGAGTTTTACGACCTATGTTTTCTACTTTGGTAATGTGTCTGCTGTGCATATAGTCTAGCTATGAGAAGGATATGCTTGGAGGATACCAATACCAATACCACGGCCCCGTGTTTCTTGTTCTTCTTTGTACAGGGCACACAAATAATAAGGCTGAAAGGGCCTTTGTAAGCCAATCTCATTGTGAAACCGTAGACTTGCAAGCACGAACAACACATAGAGTGAGATTCGATGTATGAGGAGAGCAATGGCCCTAACCCGATGCAGTGGTCAGCAGTCACATGATCCCGACCTCCTTCACGTCGCCCGCGGCTTGGCATCACCAAACTCCCTCTGCAGCACCATCTCCGTCACCCGATCAGCCTCTCCGAACCTCCCCTGCCTTCTTTGCAGGTGTTTGTTCGATGGACACTAGTATTTCTCTGTTCTAGCGGCTCCGGGCTCCGTCCAAAGTTCCGCCTCGACTCCGGTCTATACGTTGTCGTCCGGTCCCGTCCTCCGCTCCCCACATGTCTCGCGCTCCGGTTATATCACCTTCGGAGCACGGTTTCCCTCTGTCATCTTCGGATTCATATCCCGAGAAGTCGCGCCCGTAAGCCGCTTGCTGTGATCGCGTCGCATGCCCGTCGCCGACAATATGGCAACGGCGATCTCCAAACCAACCTCCCACCCGCCCAAGATGAAGCGGCCGCCCCCGCCTTTTGTTCAAACCGGGGTCAATGGGGTAAAGCCTCAGCAGTCCTCCTCGTCCCCACAACCGTCCTCCAAGCGCCTTCCGGGCCCCAATCAACCAGGCCCTGCGGGCTCGACAAGTGGTGCGGTCACAAATGGGGTCAATGGTGCGGCTGATTCGAATGGCGTCAAGAGCTCCATTAATCGGCCTAAGAAAGAAGCGCAAAAGCCAGGTGACCAAGGAATGCGGTTAGCGAAGCCATTGGCCAGGACTCTTTCCACGGACAATGAGCGCCGGCTAGGCAAGAAGTGTCCTGAGCCTTATGGTGAGTTTCCGCAAGCTCTATGTGCGGCGGCCCCTTGTATACTGACAGCTGTATCCCTTACAGTGAAAACAACGTCACATATACTGAAGAAATACGGCAAATGCCCCCCGTCTCTCATTTTACATCTTCACCCTACCCATTTCCGCTTTGAGCAACAAGATGGGAGCTTTCCCTATAATTCTGAAATGAAGGTTATTATCGAACATATTCGTGCCGGGACCGTTCCCCACGATATGATAGAGGAGCTGTTGCGGGCCAACGTTCGTTTCTACGAAGGTAGGCATTAGACCGTCATATAATACTTGCGCCGCATTTCATTAAACCGTGTTGATAGGTTGTCTCATTGTCCGCGTGGTTGATCACAAGTCTGTGTCAGCCCAAGCCAGGAAGTCAACTGCCCCATCGACGAATGATAGCAATACTCCGTTCTCTATTCATAACTACAATGAACATGTTACTCCTTCGGCCTATGTACCCTACCCGAAACAGAACCAGCTGACTTCTGAGAAACCATCATCAAAGGAGGCCGAAACTCAGTCAGACACTAAGGCCAACGGAGAGCAACCCAGTGATTCCCAAGAACAACCTGAAAAGAGTGAATCGAGCTCTTCCCAACAAAAGCAGACACCCCCAAAACCCCGTGTGTTTACAACTGTACTTCATCCTACTCCGCGCTCATTACAAGCAGAGTTAACTCTGCTTGCTACTACACCTGATCCAAAGGCTGCAAAGCAGGTAGCCACGAGTTCTGCGTCACGTACTCAAGCGGCTTCATCAGCTGCGCCTCCATCTCCAGGTGGCTCCTCTAACCAACCTGAGCGTGGGCCGGTTGCAAAAAGACAAAAGATGCTTGTCGAACCGCAGGATCTTCCAGAGTGCGAATCTAAACTAACAAGGGCTTTAGCACCACCACTCTTCTTAGAGCCTGTGCAAAGCCTGGACGCTGTTCAAGATTTACTGAAATTCATGGAGAGCCCTCTCCATCATGATCCGCCGCCATCTCCGAAACGACGGAAGCGGACAGTGGCGGAACTTGCTGCTGATGAAGCACTGGCAGCCGAAGAGGAGCGATTCATGCTTATCATGGACGAACGGCTCGAGCCAACTACCTCTGGAGCCGCAGGAGGCCCTAAATCTGCCGTTGTTGATGATACAAGCGGCGGCGCACCTTTCGAGCCTCGTTTCTCCCGGTTCAAGACTCTGGAAAGCATTCGCATGCAACATGAAGAGAAAGCGAAACGGGAGCACGAAATCAAGCTCAAGCAAGAATTGGCTAAGAGGCAGCAGCAAGAACAGGAAAGGGAAAGGCGTCGCGCCCTGGAGCAACGGCAGGCAGAAGAGCAAGCAAAAGAGGACTCTCGGAGACAACATCTTGCTGCTCAACAACAAGTACAGGCGCAGCTTGCTGCGCAGCAACAGGGCCGCCACGTTATGCCTCAAGCAAACGGGGTCAGCCAAGCGCCACATTCCTCTCCAATTGCTCGCAACCAGACGCCGCGTAATACCTCGTCACCGTTACCTGGCAATGCCATGGGGGCACAGGGAGGTGTGCCAATGAGTATGACATCTTCTATGCAGGGCGCTGGCAGCCCTCCACGACCCCCTTCTGCGCTGCAGCATGCCCACCCCAATGTCATGGGCCACCCAATGGCTCCTTCGAGGAGCCAGCAAGGACAGAGTCGACATGGAACCCCCCAGATGACTCAAGGAACTCCAGCGATGTCCCATGCTACACCAATCATGCGCAACGTTACACCAACACAGCGAATGAGTCATGCCAGTCCCGGCCGCTCGACAGTGGCACCGACACCGGTGATGGGACAAGCTATGATGGGAACTCCCCAGATGACAGGTGGCATGGGCCTTACGCCCCAACAGCAGCAGATGCTGTTGCAGCAGAGGCAACAAATGCTTGCACAACAAGGGCACCTAGGACATGGCCAGCTCACGCCGCAGCAATTTGCTCAATTCCAAGCCAACGCGCACGCGCAGCAAAATATTCAATCGCATCAGCAACAGATGCTGCAGGCTCAACAGCAGAACCACCAGCAACAGCAACAGAAGATCCCGAACCCTCAGATTTACCAACAGCAACTTATGCGGGCACAGTTCGCGCAAATGCAAATGGCGCAACAGCAGCAGCATGGGCAAGGTCCTCAATCACAAGGCCAGCAAGGCCAGCTGCACCAGGGTGGTTCTCAGATGAATCCACAACAGCAGCAGTTGCTAATGGCAGCTGCTCAAGCAAACGGTGGCCAGCTCCCGCAGAACCTCCAAGGGGCCAACATGCAGGGAGCTATGGCACAGCGATACAATCAGCTCTATCAACAACGTCTCTTGAGGTTACGACAGGAAATGGCCAGTCGCTTTATGGGGCAATACGGTCCACCCAATCAATACCCACCATCAATCGCGCAGCAATATCATGCCGGGCTTGAAAGAAATGCCAAACATTGGGTCCAAGAAATTATTCGACGAGAACGTGAGACTGCTCAGCAGCAACGTGCTAACCAAGTTGCGGCTGTACAAGCCCAGGTGATGCAGCAGCAGCAACAACATAACATGATGCAGAATGGAATGGGCAGCTAATTGCTCGCAGGGCCATCGATCTAATCGATGAAACGACAACTTTTTTCTTCACTTCTTTGACAACCCTTTTCACTCTATATTTATTTTTCTCTTTGCCTTTAGCCCGCTGGAAGTGGATATTGAGCGACTCTCTCCACTCACCCTGCAGGGGCTCGTGATTTTTACCTACTTCATTTGGAGATTGTACAGGGACCAGGATCTTGCGATAAAACAGGCCGGCGTTTCTCGACCTTGGTTTGCATGCGTGCTTTCTTTCTGTGGCTTGTTTTCCTCTCATTTTTTTTTCTTCGTTCTTGTGCTTGGCGATTGTAACATTGGGAAAGGGATTGATTGATCGGGGAGCAAGGAACAGACTTGATACCATTTTGTACAGGTGTCCCCTTTTGGCATGCGTTTATGTTTTTGGATGTCGTTCATTCGATTGGAGATTCATCTTACAGTGCTATGCTCGTGTAGACATGAAATATAGCTATATCAGACTACGAATTATACTCTGTTGTTCCAATGATCGCGTCGATGTCTACACGGATATCTACTGCACTGCACGTTAGACACTGTTTGAAGCGTCAGAGCCTCGGTGTGGTATGACCAGAAACTCTCCAAAATAATAACAATAATATAAAACACATGTATGAGTATCAGCATGGTGTAAACTCTCGTCGACAATTCATTCCATGCACAATGTTCCTCATAACAGCCAGTCTTCTGTTGGCCCAGTAGAGTAACCACTCTCACACTTTTACCATGATAACCCAAGTAACCAACCTCTCTACATTAACCTCGGGCTTCTATATTCTAACACGTTAGTATAAAAAACCTGAGCGAGCAACAAAGATCACTCAATCAATCGAACTATCTATCTGGAATCCATCGTAGTAAGGCGAGCCACCCTCTAGTACACAGGGCTCCATAAAAGACTCCAAGAAGCCAGAGATAACCCAAGCAGTAAACAAATATTATAAAGAGCCATACTACTCCCCATAAACGGAACTGCTGATAACTAGGAACCCACCCAACACACGATTCGACTGACAGAGAAGGGGCAAATATATATGAGCTGTATCCGTACACGGACAACGCACGCTACGGACCATGCAAAAGAGGATTTTTATTATTGTTATTATTTTTTTTTTAAAAAAAAGAGAGAAGAAAAAGATATATATGCTGAACAAGTAGAAGTCTTGTATTCTTTGGATAGATACTTCGAGTGGGATTGGTCCTATAGTAATTGTGTCCCACGGGTGATTTTTCAGCCAGATGTGATGAATATGGTGTGGTGTTCTTCGGTCTGAGGTAAGACTGGATGCGTGACT